CCCTTCCAACCCTGATATTCAAAGATTCAATGATATAGTGTGTACAACTCCTGATTTAAAAAAGAAACAATCACTTCAGCGATCCCAGACTATGGGGATTTATTTGACTATAAAATGAGCTTTTCGGAGTAGAGCAGGCACATATACTGTACTTCTACAATTATATACTGAGCACAGTCTTCTCAGAGGGGGAAGATATTTTGTCAGCTTCTTGGAGGCCATCTCCCATCAAGTGAAGTAAAGTGAGAGATGTGACTAAATATTAGGGCTGTTGCATGATTAAACAATAATAGAATACCATTTAATTATTTTTTATATTTTCAAATATATTGATTTCAATTATAACACACAATACAAAGTGTACAGTGCTCACTTAATATTCATTTTTGGTTACAAATATTTGCACTTTAAAAAACAAGAAATAGTATTTTTCAATTCACCTAATGCAAGTACTGTAGTGCAATCTCTTTATCATGAAATTTGAACTTACAAATGTAGAATTATGTACAAAAAAAACTGCATTCAAAAATAAAAAAATGTAAAACTTTAAAGCCTACAAGTCTACTCAATCCTATTTCTTGTTCAGCCAGTCGATAAGACCGATAACTTTGTTTACATTAGCAGGAGATAATGCTGCCTGCTTCTTGTTCACAATGTCACCTGAAAGTGAGAACAGTTGTTCTCATGGCACTGTTGTAGCCGGCGTTGCAAGATATTTACATGCCGGATGCGCTGAAGATTCATATGTCCCTTCATGCTTCAACCTCCATTCCAGAGGACATGCATCCATGCTGATGACAGGTTCTGCTCGATAACAGTCCAAAAGCAGTGCAGACTGACGAATGTTCATTTTCATCATCCGAGTCAGATGCCACCAACAGAAGGTTGTTTTTCTTTTTGGATGGTTCAAGTTCTGTAGTTTTCTGCATTGGAGTGTTGCTCTTTTAAGACTTCACAGGTGTTCCACACCTCGTCCCTCTCACATTTTGGAAGGCAGTTCAGATTTTTAAACCTTGGGTGGAGTGCTGTAGCTATGTTTAGAAATCTCAAATTGGTTCTTTCTTTGCGTTTTGTCAAATCTGCAGTGAAAGTGTACTTTAAATGAACAACATGTGCTGAGTCATCATCTGAGACTACTGTAACATGAAATACATGGCAGAATGCGGGTAAAACACTGAGCAGGAGACATACAGTTCTCTCCCAAGGAGTTCAGTCACAAATTTAATTAACACATTATTTTTTAATGAGTGTCATCAGCATGGAAGCATATCCTCTGGAATGGTGGCTGAAGCATGAAGGGGCATAAGAATGTTTATCGTATCTGGCACATAAATATCTTGCAATGCCGGCTACAAAGGTCGCATGCGAAAGCCTGTTCTCACTTTCAGGTGACATTGTAAATAAGAAGTAGGCAGCATTATCTCCTGTAAATGTAAACAAACTTGTTTGTCTTAGTGATTGGCTGAACGAGAAGTAGGACTGAGTGGACTTGTAGGCTCTAAAGTTTCGTATTTTGTTTAGTTTTTGAGTGCAGTTATGTACCCCTTTCAGGAGGCTGATTTGTCTTGCATACAACAAGTTTCATCTCACTTACCCGCTAGCTTACAAAATCAGACATAAAAATACAAAAGAGTCACAGCACACTATTACTGAAAAATTACTTACTTTTCTCAATTTTCCTATATAATTATAAAATAAATCACAACACCGAGGTCGAGAAAACTGATACAGTATATAGAGCATTATAAACAAGTCATTGTCTATATGAAATTGTAGTTTGTACTGACTTTGCTAAGTGCTTTTCATGTAGCCTATTGTAAACCTAGGCAAATATCTAGATGAATTGATGTACCCCCTGGAAGACCTCAGACTCCTGAAAGGGATATAGTGTTCTGGAACGGTTGAGAACGACTGTTGTACAGCACCAAACACACTACTGACATACACAGTAATAAATTAATTTGTAAGCTATCTGGGGAAGAGGTTGTCTCTTAATACATGTTTTAGTACATTGCTTAGGCAAAATGGAGTCCTGATCTTGAATGGGGCCTCTCAGCAGGACTGTAATACAAAAACAGTGATGGTTTTGATCTGATATGCTGAAACTGGTAGAAATTCATGTTTTATTTGACCATAGGATTCTGGCATATCAATACACAAATTCTGAAGTTATGGTCTAGTTGAGAACCTGGTTGAGAACCACTGCTGTACAAGATAAAATATATACAGTCTGTGCCCTGATGAGTTTGTACAATGCAAACCTGGAGTGGATGAGATGCTGGAAAACCCTAAAGAGGGAGTGGCTAGGAGTTCTGGTTGACTCACTATTTGCAAGTATCATTGAAGTGAGTCTTTAGGAGGGAATTGAATGGAGAGGCTGGTGGCTTGATGGACTTTGGGACAGGATGGATTGATTTAAATTATCGGTTTTAATCATGATTTAAATCAGCAAGCAAGAAGCATTGATTCAAATAATCAATTTTAATTTTGTTTTGCATTTGTACCTTTTAGGTAGTTTCCTAAAGAGAGGTTGATTTCGCATTGGTTGGTAACCATTAAAACATGTTAATCTGAAATTAAATACAATTGTTACACTAAATCTGTTGCTTTCCTTTGCTATCTAGGAGGATACACTATATCTGTTCACATTTGTTTAAGCAGTTCTATCACTTACTTTACATTGATTCAGATTCTTAATTTTTACATTTTTTTTATTGTTAGCAAACAGTGAATGATGCATTTTATTTACTAGATTTATTTTTACTTGTGATTTGTATCCAGCTCTATTTCCATGGAAATTAGAATTCAGTTAAAAATGTACAAAACCAGCATTTCAGTTTTTTTTATTAGTTACATAAAACTACCTTAACTATGCCAGAGATACAAGGAAAAAAGTGTATCGAAACAAGTTTTGCATTTAAAACAGATTTATTATACAAAGGTAGTACTCTCTGTAGTTAGCGAATTAAACTGATTGCTTCAGGTCATCATGTTCAAGATATTAGAATAGTAGATCTCATTGTCTCACACTTAGTTTTTGTTCACATATTGGAAAACTAAAATAAGATTTCCTGGTTTTTTTCAACTTCTAATCAGTTTCTCAACTTTGAATGAACTAATCATTGAATTGAATTAGTTGAATAAACTCAAATGAAGGAAATAGTCCCTCTGCACCTGCACAGTGTAAAGCTGGTGTAGCACTTCAGCAAATTCTGCTTCTGTGTGCTTAGACCTTGACTTCCATCAGTTGACTTTCTTTATAACTTTTGCAGCAAATGTGTACTGCTTAATATTTAAATTTAATTTAAATTTAATAATTTATAGTAAGTTTAAACCTGAACACATAGGTTGTCATACTTTAAAATTTAATTTTAAATAGGTTTATTTTTGAAAGAAAAGACACAGAATTTAAATTTTAAAAATGTTATTTAAAACCCCACATTTATTTGTATCCACCCTGTTGTGGAAGAAACAGACGAATGAGGCATTGAGGCTGGTATTCTTTACAGAGGAGAGGGTATGGAGTTCCGGAATGTAATAAGAGATGAAACTCGAGATAGGGACTAGGATGGTATTATTTAGGGCCTTGAAAACAGAACAGATTTAACTTGATGCAGCGTATATGTAAAATCAGATTTTTTTCTCGTTATACAGTACCTTTGTGCCTGTGTAAAGCTACCTCCCATAGAATTTCTCAGGAATGTTGGCTTATAAAGTACATTTAAATGTTTTACATGCCTCTCTATTTTTAGGGTACATGTAAATAGATAGTACTGTAAGATAAAATATACAATTTATCTACACAACAAATATCTGGGATTTTCTGTTTGCTATACAATAACATTTTTGTGTACCGTTCAGAAGTACAGTAAGCATCTAACATTTTGTAATAGGGTTAGATGGTAAATTTATGAATGATATGTTGGTTTGGGAATATTTAATTTGCGTGTGTATGTGTGTGTATATATTTTATATATCTCAGCCCTGGTACAAAACCCATGTTTCTTACTAGACACATCAAAATAAGATACCATTTACAGCAGATTGCGCAGCTCTTCATAATAGCATTCTCCTCTTGTGTGCTCTGATAGCAGTGATGTTAGCTGATGCTCATCCCTCTTTCATATATGCTTTTATCATAGTGAAATGGTAGCAATGTTGGCATTTTAAATTAACCTGTTTCTGAGTTAATACTTCAGGATATTAGGATATGCTCACACCTAGGGCTATTGTTGCAGGGTATCCGTAGACACAGGCGGACATCACTGCATCAGGTTGTTCTCTGCTCATAACTTGAAGGTTATCTTCACAGCCATGAGAGCTAGAAGGTTCTTTTAATTAAAGCTTAGGTTCTGGAGCGAAAGAAAGTTAGCTTCTCCTTCCCAAAAAAGGATGGCGTTACTGAGCTGCTGCAAACCATCCCAGCACCACCCTATACAACCAGTCCAAAATGTACAATAGCCACAACTCTAAACTCCTGAAATTTTAATGGTCCAATTTCATACATTGGAGGAGAATGGAGGCAGTGTGACTTGGCAAGGCTAAACCTTAATGGCGCTGCCATCCCATACACTGGTGAACAGGGCCGAGCTTCATGGGACAGGAGCTGTTGCTGCTGGGTATATGCGAGGCGGGCTCACTCTCCAACCTTGTTCCAGACTGGATTGGGATTAGGGTTGCAGTGCCAGGGCAGAGCATGCCGCTACACGTGGTCAGTGTCCCTGCAGAGGGGTGAAGAGGAGCAGCAGAGGAGGAGAGGATGCTGGCCTATGATGAATTTGGACTCTGGGTGGGTTGCCAAAAAAGATAAAATGGAGTTGGTGGGTCACCTTGGTTTAAAAAAAATTGGGAACCACTGACTTGGGTAATTTAAATATCAAACCATTTAACGGCAAACTGAAGTGGGTAATTTGAGTGTTCTAATTTCTCAGGGGAAGAAATTGCTACAAATTTTAAATTGTGGTTTGTTCTCCCCCCCTCCCCCCAACTTCCTTCTTCAGGTATGGCCTCACAAGTCTTGGTCTATCCACCATATGTTTATCAAACCCAGTCAAGTGCCTTTTGTAGTGTGAAGAAACTCAAAGTAGAGCCAAGCAGCTGTGTGTACCACGAAAGAATCTACCCACGGATCTATGTGAATGGTAAAAACTTTGGAATTGCTCGTTCTCCCAACAGGGTTAGTACTTACTTTCAGACTAAGAACCCATTTGACAGACCTCGAGGACAGAACTTTTTGTTGCAGACAAGTGCTGTTGCTTTAAAAAATACTGTAGGTGCTACAAATGTGTTAGCAGTGCAGGCGCAACAACTTCAAGTTGAGGCACCTCAGACTGGTACACAGGGAACCAGGTTAGATTTACTGGATGGATCCCAGCGTTGTGGATTGAAGCGTAAGAGTGAAGAGTTGAATAATCAAAGTAGCGCAATGCAGATAGTTGATGAACTGTCTATATTACCTGCAATGTTGCAAGCAAATATGGGAAACCCGGTGACGGTTGTGACAACTGCTGCAACTTCAAAACAGAGTGGTACCAGTGGAGATGGAGATTATCAGTTAGTACAGCATGAGGTGTTGTGCTCTGTGAAAAATACTTATGAGGTCCTGGATTTCCTTGGGCGAGGGACCTTTGGACAAGTAGTAAAATGTTGGACAAGGGGGACAAATGAGATTGTCGCAATCAAAATTTTGAAGAATCATCCTTCTTATGCACGTCAAGGACAAATAGAAGTGAGCATATTAGCAAGACTAAGTACTGAAAATGCGGATGAGTTTAATTTTGTGAGAGCTTATGAATGCTTTCAGCATCGTAACCATACTTGCTTGGTGTTTGAGATGTTGGAACAGAATTTATATGACTTTCTGAAGCAAAACAAATTCAGCCCTCTACAGCTAAAAGTAATACGGCCAATTCTGCAACAAGTGGCCACTGCACTGAAAAAACTAAAAAGTCTTGGTTTAATCCATGCTGACCTCAAACCGGAGAACATTATGTTGGTGGATCCTGTCCGGCAGCCATACCGGGTTAAAGTAATAGACTTTGGGTCTGCCAGCCACGTGTCAAAGACTGTTTGTTCAACTTATTTACAGTCTCGGTATTACAGGTAGGTGCTCATTCTATTTTTTTGCTTTGTTTTTTCTTTTTAATGAATATTAAAATTCTCCTCCATGAAAAATAACGCCAAAGGGTTTTGAAACTACAGTTTTTCAGACAGTAAATAGTAATTTGATTCAAATTGACCATGTATTCATTTCCTTAATTCTAAAATAAAATAGTTGATCATGATTTTAGATACAATTTGCTGACTTGAAGACTATTTACTGCACTGGCAGTAGGTTTGCTCTTTACATTACTACCTACAATGAGTTCCCTCCAGAATTATGTTTTGAATGTTGCATTCTCTCCTAATGCACCATGAAAATACCTCTGATTTGTCAAGCAGACTTTCTAAAAGAGAGCTTTTTTTTTTAAACTTCATGGTATATATTTTTTGTTAGATTGAAAGCCATTAAAACAGAAGTCCTATGTATCAATTACATGCAACTTCCTATGCAGATGTTCCTTTTTCCTTGTCTCACCTAATATACAAATTTCTCTCTTTAAGCAGTTGGAAATAATGTGGCATTTGTAGTGGTATCTTCTATAGAAGAGATTATATATATATATATATATATACTTTCTTTATAGTTTTTCTACCATGTATGTACACTTATGCTAGATGCTATGTGCCCTCAACTCCAATCGGTTTCAGTGAACTTCAGGGACTGGTGAAGTGAATCCTGTACTTATGGCTCGTAGAGGTCCCAGCGCCTGGCCTCCAGCCTGAACCTGAACATCTACACTGCTGTTTTACAGCCCTACAATCTGTGCCCTGTGAACCCAAGTCAGTTGACATCGGCCAGCCGCAGGTGTTTTATTGAAGCACAGACATACCCAAAATCTTCTCAATGAGGATCCTACAAGAAAGAGAGGCTCATGCACAGCTGCTGTTCTGCTTTAGCAGTTCCACTTCTGCCTCCCAGTTCCCCCATTGCTTAATCTCTGACCCAAGTTAAGCACTAAAAAAACCCACAAATGTATACACACACAGCTTTATTGGGAAGCAGTTAAGAGTTGCTACACACACAATGTGCCTGACACAAACTCATAAAAGAGAGGAAATGAAAAATTAAGTGACCTAAGCATGCACATTATTGTTCCCCAATTGGAACAGGATTGGAAGAGGGTAAAGGTGCCAGTCACCTGTAACTTCCTGCCAGGAGTGCCAGTCCCCTGGTGGCATGACTGGGGCTCAAGCTGTTAATGTTTAGATTTCTAGCATAGCTAAGACCACAATTCAATAGGTATTGAATAGCTCCCTACGTAGAGATTTTACTACCTCTGATGTTGGCTAGAAAATTATAGTTTCGGTTATTGATGTATTATTTTTTGTTATTTGAAAAGTGATGGACCCAGACTGGATGACCCTACTGAAACTTGCATAGGTATACTACTACTATGTCATTTTTCTGCTTCTGATTCAGATTGTACACCAGGCACTGATAGTTGTATCGCATTATTGTATTGACGCAATTATTCTGCTCCCTATTAAACATTTTAGTCTTGTATTTATTCTTTGTGGTTACATCAGCCAATTGACAGTCAGTGTTTTTATAATTTTTGTGGACCCATTGAAATTTACTCACTGTGTTCTCACCATAGGGAGAATGTGGACTATGGAAAGTTCTTATCAGAATAGCATTTTTTTCTAGCTTTCTTTGAATATGAAAAAATTACAGAATGTAAAACAAGGAAAAGTAAGACTGTCATAAATATTTATTTTCATGGCATAGAATTTGGACACATTCATCAAGTGAAGCAGGTCTGTATGCTGGAAAACCAACATGTAATCTATTATCCAAGGTATAATTTAGATATTAGTTCCGTTGTATCGCACTGTACCTTGCATGTATAGTGCTTGTTGAATACATACATTTAAAAAGTATTTCTGTGTGTGAAAAAGATAATATCTCTAAATTAAGAGTGCTCAAATTTTGTAGGCGCATGATTTTTGTGTGCCTACAGTGTCATGTTGCTTTAAGAACTTCTCGCAGAGAGAAGGCGTTAGCCTCATATCAAAGGATTGATGGACAGATGCACGTAGGTGCACATGCTAAGAAAGTATAAAATTTCAATTGTTGTAATTTAATTATAAGGTGCCTTGTAAATAGTCTGGTAGAAGATTACAAGATTACAAATCTCTGGGAAGTAAATAATATAAAGTTATGTTTAAAAACATTTTTAAAAATAATTTTTTATTCAGAGATAATAAGTGTGAATTAGGTTACTGATCTTGCAGCCTTCACGCTGCTGATACAGGTCCACCCACATGGAGCAGCTTGCAGGATTGAGGTCAAAATGATTTATATGATATCTATACTGTATTGTATCTCATAACTATATCTATATTTGAAATATATTGAGAATTGGACTTAATTTATTTTTTGCGTGGGAGGGGGGACCCCCAAACCTGTTAATGCGGATACTATTCTAAAACTCTTGTGTTAATCCTCCAACCGGAAACCTAACCTTTGGAAAGAGACTTGAAATTTATTACTTGGAATTTTCTGTCTGTTTCTAGTAACTGCAGTTTCATTTCAGCAAGTTGGGTTGCATTGCGGGTGCATAGCACCGTAGACATTGAGCAATTCAAATTCCTTTTGGGTAGCTTGGCATGCTGTCTGACTAAGGGCATTGCTGTCTAAAGCTAATAGCACTGCTATAACCCTTAATGCTATACAAGCACTTAGATAATGTTACTAATGTTAGATGATAATGGCTTGATCTTGTAAGTTGCTGAGCACCCTCAACTGCCACTGACCTGAATGGCAACCAAGTGTGCTCATCACCTCACAGAACTGAGCTCGAATAAAGAATTTGGAGCGGAAAGCAGCAAGGAAGTAGAGGGGAGAGGCATGCTGTTCAGAGATTACATAGCATAAGAGAGCACATAAACAGGGAGGGGGTGGGGGGATAGAGACACAATTTATTTCACAATAAACAGTGCCTCTTGCCATCCAGGCCAAGATCTGCATCTTTAAAAAATAAATAAATGAATACTGTGGCCTTCTCTAAAAGTTAGACCTTTATTTTCTTCATCAAATTTATAGCACTGTTGAATTTACATAGAAAAACATAATATATTCAATTTTAATAGAGATGTAATTGGTTTAGATAGAGATCAGCTCTCTTTTTATAAGAGGTTCTATTTAATGAAATGTCCATCAAGAGTAATTTGAAAATAGAGATTTTGTTTAATAGGTTAATCCCTCTTCTCTCCTCACATTCTCATTCTCATTCGCTGTTTACTGTGATCATGCTGATTATACATTGGTGCAAAGCCTTCGTCACTTGCTCACTGGCTAATCCTTTCATTTGCTGTTGTGAGTTGTATGTTTAATTCTCACTGGGGAGAATTTTATCATACAGCTGCCCAACAGGGCAAGCAGGGTAAGAGAGATTCTGGATTCAACCCAGATATTTTTCTCACAAACATATTTTACCAAGAAAATACCTGTACAAATATTAGTGTAGTGAGAGTGGTTTTTTTTAAGTATATTTTGAACTATAGATGCAGTCTGTACTGTAAGAGCTTTAGGATATAAATGTAGGAACAGACTTGCCCCACTTTCTCAGCAAAGCACACACAATCTTGATTCATAGTTATTTTTGAAAATAGGACTTAAGATCCCAAGTCACTTAGACATTTGTGAAAACTTTGCCCATATACTATTTTTAAAGTTGTATGGTTTTGGAATTAGTATTATTAATAACGATGATAAGAATACAGGTTATTACCACGACACCAATTCATCTACACCCCTTTATTAAATCTCAAGTCTGAATATTTGTATAATTGTTTTTAACATATCTAAAAGCTTAAGCAATAAGCAGTTTTTACACCCATACAGTAAGAAACATTTATAAACCTTAGATTAGAATACTCACAAAAGGATCATTCCCAGGGATAATCCCCTCACCCTGGCTAGCTCCAGTATAGTCAGGTAGGATCTGCTAAATACCCCCCTCCTTCCCCGAGAGCTTAGTTCTTTTATACAATGCAACAAATAAATGATGTCTCATTGACTGTTATCCTAGCTAACAGTTTGGAGTTGACCCCCTCCTTAAGCCTGGAGAAGACAAGATTTTTACAACTGTGCCTCTTTCTCCAAGCAAACATTGGTATGTTGGGGGTCACTACTGATTCCACACACCACATTCCAAGCTTAGCATCCTTCCCAAAACTTTGGTTGTTAGATGCCACATTTCTCCTAGTTCTTGAGCATATTATTTTCAAGGCCTTGTTACATTTTGCTAACCACCTACATATTATATAAGCTACAAAGCACGTATATTTTCTTAGCCAAGCTAAACTAATTAATCCTTTATATACCTTTTTAATCCTACATGTGTGCTTTACCGATGAAAGTGGGGCTAATCTGTTTCTCCATTTTGCCCATGTACTAGCAACTGTGCCTGCTTGAATTCTTTAGTTTGCTTGCTCAGCCTTTTAGAAGCAACAGTGCAACCAATGTAGGGATTTATGCCGCTGCTTTGAGTAGGTGCAGGCACACATTATGTATGTTCCCAGCACACCAAAGCCGTAAAACTTTGCCTAGTGGTACTGATAGGACTGGTGCCCTTAGCTCCTCCCATAGCTATTTAAGGGTGGTGCCATCCCAGTCACCTTCAGTTTCTTCTCCCCCACCCCAGTGCTTGAGTTGGAGCATTTTTGTGGTATTTTACTTCACAGTTCTCTGTCATTATTTTCTATGCTTTTGTGTATAAAGTTAAATTAGTAGTAGTAGAATTAACTTAGTAAAATTTAGCCTCTTCTGATGCCTTGACCAGGTTTAATACATTGCCGTTTGTGTGGCGTGGCTGTTCCTGTTAGTGACCTCCATACTTGATGTATGTTTGTGCCCTGGGGAAGGGCACGTTAAAGAAAGGTGTTCCATCAATAATTCGCTCAAGAAGAGGATACAGGTGGCCAGAGACTTGAGCTTGATTCAGCACTTTCTCGAGTAGGCCATGAGGCCTGTATTCTCACCAGACACATCCACT